TCCAGTCCATTATCTGGAATTACTGGAATTATTGGGCTGCTCAATTACTTCTACTCGTATAAAAAGTTAGGAACAGATGTGGTATGAATAATCGCTAGCCAGCTTGGATATGAATGAACAATAAACGAATTTAAACAATCGAACTTCATGAAAAAATGTCAGTTCAGCATATGTTGCCTATGATAGATAACCCCGAGGCTTTAGAATTCAATTATCCTGAATCCAGTTATCATAACTCTCGTTCTGATAAACTTAGTCCTTATCCCGAATAACATCATAACGAATCGTCAAGTCTATCAGAATCCCTTCAACCGGGATCAGGCATCCAGTATTTATATCCCGTTAATAATTATGGAATCAAGGCGTTCTAATTGCTGCAAGGCGTTTAAACCCCCATTTAGCGTTAAATTCACATTTTCCCCATAACAATAAATAACAATAATTTGAATATGTTATTATAATATTTTAACCGCATTTATTCACACTTACTCCTCGTCTCAAAATTCTTGGATATTCCGAACGTCGCCAACCCGCATCCCACGAGAAGTGTCTAAACTATTAAATAATAGTTATGCAAATTAACAGGATCACGACTTTTGATCTTTAAATTAAAAATAATGCAATCACTTTAAATTTATCAGGAATTTTTCATATTTTCATAAAAAAACATACTTTTTCCATTTTTTACCTGAATATACATTCGGAAAATTTTGAAAATTCAATTTTTTATACAACCCTTCTCTCCTCATTTTGAATGGAATTGCTATTCTCCCGTTAGGAATGAAGCATCAGTTTCATAGATATTCAGAAATTTACGAATAATGTATAAAAAAATATTTAAGAGTTTGTGGAATGTATAAAATAATTGTATACCAAGTGAATGGCGAATTCATCAAACAGTACGGATTAACCCTCTACTGCAATATGTCACTCACCGAGAACATACCTTTCAACTTAAATTTGTACGCAACAGAGAACATTTTAAAGTTGTGCGTGGCGGCAACCATCAGTGCAAGTCATTTTGCGCTCACTAGAACGTTTTATTGTGGGGAAGTAGCTAGGCTGGTGACAATATTGCTCCGGTTACTCATGTCAGGCGGTGGAGGCTTAAGCTTAGAATATTCGTGTAGACGTCTTGGCAAATTCAAGGGAAATGTTTTGACAAGAACATGATAATCTTTGGAATATGATCAGTGATTACGTGTAATTTTCCAAAGTTTATAGAATGAATGGTAAATATATGGAAAATGTCGCTAAGTGTCGAAAATGAATGTATGGATGGAACCTGTATGAGATATATGCCGGTATGTAAATCGAATGTTAATGCAAAAATGCATAAAAAATGAACGAAATCTCAAGAGAATGATTTATGTATGAGAAAGATTATAAATTCTTGGGAAGTGCGTAGATGGTTGATTATAAATGTATGGAAGGTGACTTGAAAATAATTTTGTGCCCTGTAAAAATATGTTATATGAAATAAAGATAGCCAAAGAATTATCAAAAATTTGATCAAAGGTTTACAAAGATTCGAATAAATCTGAAACGTGTTTTGGAAAAATTTAACAATATTTTATAAATTATAAGAAAAATCGAAAAATTATAAATTAGATGGATAAATGCGTGCAGAATCTATGGAAATTGTACAACAATTGGTTAGAATGTAGTGAACCAAATGCGGATTTCCGGAAAATTTTTGTAAATGTCATTGAAAATTTAATTTTAAATGTTGGTGACGTTCGTACACCGCTTTAGTAAAATGCACGGAAGGTAAGGTAACATGCATGGGGCAGCGAGCCCACTGCGGGTCATGGGCCCATAGCAGGTTCCTCGCTATAGTATGGCAGATATTGGTCCGTGTTCTCTACCGCCGGTCGACAGTTTCACTGGGGTGAAGTTTACGGATTCAAGTTTTGCTAAGTGTTTGCGTTATTAAAATATTTGTGAATAACTGATTTAGCCAAGATAAGAATTTTTTGCTGCTAAATAAAACTGTTTTTGGTTACTGTAGATGAAGCTTTTGAAATTACTGTGAATTATATTTTGAAAGTAATATTTATAGGGATAATTTTAAGATTAAGTTTAGACTATTAGCTTTTAAAATAAAATGTTGACACGATATAAATTGAAAGGATACCTAGTGGGGGCAACGGGCCCACGCGCGTCATGGGGCAAAGCGCCCATGGGGAAGTCTTGCGTTATACATCATTAGATTTCTCTCAATGACCTTTTCAAAACTATGACTAGCTTTTGAATTACCAATCACTCTTCATATTACATGATTTTTCGATTTGACGCCTCAAGACAGCAGGTTTAGTTTCTAGTTATGCGTATTTATGACCCCATATCGAGTTATTGACTCTTGCCTTGCCAAAAGTTGATTTCAGTCAACACCAATGAGCCAAAAGTTGATGAGTTTTTATGGTGTTAGCTGAAATCACGATTAGGTACGAATTCTCTGCACATAATATCTGGATTATGGGCAAAACTAGAACGAAGTTTTTTCTGATCAACTAAATATATTTTTTCTAGTCAAGAATACATTTTTTCATGTCAGGACGAATTTTTTATCGCAAGGATATATTTTTCAAGTCAAGGATATATATTTTTATGTCAATGAAATATTTTTTTCACGTCAGTGATAGATTTTTTAAGCCAAGGGTATATTTTTTTCATGTTAATGATATTATTTTTTGAGTTGTTAATAAATGAATGAATGTCATATTTTTATTACATTTTTTCTTATTTTTAACTGTAAGGTGTTGTTTTATCATTTTTAAACAAAAATTATGCAATTGTGGTAAAGAGACCAAGGGTGGGCGCCTTGCCCCAAGCCCATGGGTCCATTGCCCCAGGGGTGGGGCAATGGGCCCATGTTGTCCCTTTTTACAAAATAGTGTTTCATTAAAAATTGAATAACTCTATAGGCGCCTAATTCGCATCATACATTCCTCATTAGTTGCACCTTTAAACAAAACAAAGAATCACCTCGTATCAATTAAAACTTAATCAAAAATTTAGTTTAAAAAAAGGGGGGGGGCGCGCTGCCCCATGTTGCCCTATATGGAAAATACGTGGAATACGTATGGAGAAATAAAGTATAATAAATAGAATCTGCACTTACATATTTGCAAAGATGCGTGAATAGATGTAAAAAATTTGAAAAAAAATATTACTAAGAATTTTGTTAATCAAATGCGAAATGTTTGGAGAACTTTAATGTGGAAAACTATTTGACAGTCTGTGGAAAAGAGAGCTATTTTTTTGACCAACTTCATGAAAACTGTGGAAAAATAGGCTTGAATTATTAGTTTGAAATGTGTATGGAGTATATTGCAAAAATTGGCAATACGTAGAAGAAATATAGGAAGCATTGGAATGCTTGGAAAGAGCCACATGGAAAGGATTTTCATATTATGAAGAAAAAGAATGAAAATAACGTATAATTTATAATAATAATAATTAATTAATTTTTAATAACGACATTTTCTCGCGAAATTTTGTTCATAGCTCCATCGCTAAAAAATAAGTTTCGATTGGTCATATATTATAGAATTCGGACAACATGTTGCTCGAAATAAATAATCTTCGTCTGTAAAATGTTCAGAAAGTTCGGGGCTCTTAATTAGTGTGTTTGCGAGAAATCTGAAATAGCCTAAAATAACTGGGTTCAGCCGAGCGCACGTATGTGTTAATAATTTTAATATGTTGCCAGGATCTGAAATTAAGCTTCTAAATGGCAGGGGTCATGATGTATCGCATAATGTTGGTTGTAAACAATCTAATTGAACTTTTGGTACATTGATGAACGTAGAATGCAATAAAAATCGAATGAAACCATTGAAAATATTGTCAAATTTCGCAACTCTGTAGAGTTTGTGAAATTAGGAATTTTTAAATTTTTCCTTTTTTATATATTTCCATTCGCATGATGCAAGGCGAGAATTCTTCCGATTGCTAAAAGGAAAATATAATTTATGGCTCCATAGAGTTCAATCCGTCATAGGGGGATGTGAGGGCATATCAAACCGTCATAGGGGGATGTGAGGGCATATCAAACCGTCATAGGAGAATGTGAGGATCTAACCGTTGTTGGAGATTGAAGATATTATCAAACTCATCTCAAAGGGAGATTATGAAACCGTTTAGGGTGATGTAGGTATTAGCAAACCTTAATAGGGGGTTATAAGTATTTGCAGAACCCGTAATGGGATGCAGGGATTATTATCGCAATAAAATGGGTTGTGGGGATTATGAAATCAATAACATAGGGACGTAGGTTTAGGAAATAAATAAAACTGCGAGGTAGAGATTGGTATATAAAAAATGGGAATTTAGGAATTATCAAATCAATAATATGCAGAGGTAGGGACTTTCAATCCCGTAAAAGGTGGTTTAATGAATTAGAAAATCTTAGCGATGGTGCATATTGAACAATGCTCGATGCGTCTGCTATCGATTCATGAACTATGTTCAGTGGTGAAAGCACACCCATCAAAAAAGAAAACGGGCCGTGAAAAATGTTATCGATACATGATCCCAATTAGGTGTATTTTTTATTTTATATATGTTGAAATCTTACAAAGTGTGATGTTTGCCCTCAAACAATTTGCAATTGGAAGCTGAAAAACATGATCTGGACGTTTTGAACGAAATTTTTCATGTGAAAAAATCATTTATGTTTAAGAAAATATTACGCGCATTATTATCATATTGGTTTTGTTTTTTCATCATATACTTACATGTATAAAAACATGGCTGGAGGGCTTAACTATGTGCTGCATATAAAGCAGCAGAATGAATGAATGTAAGGCTATAAAACAAATGCTAATTCTTGACCTGCATTTTTAGACAGAAATCCGCGGTTTTGGGACTTCACCAAGCTCTGGGCTGGTCAGCGACAGTCGCCCATCAACATCGTTAGAAAGCAAACAACCTGGTCCTGGTTGAGCGCCACCCTGCCGTTGAAATTCATCGACTACAGCACAGTTCCTAACTCAATGACTGCTGTCAACGACTTCTACACTCGTAAAAATGCGTACTATCATGTATCTCAGTTTTTAAGATCATGTTATTGCAGGTAGTTTTTTTGCAATGAAATTCGTTTAAAAAAACTCAACCATTACGATGGCTTTGATCCAGTCATCTGTATCCTAACATCCATTCTTAACCATCACATTGTACTTAGTGGAATCAATATCATATACTAAAATTTTCCATCGAAGTCCGTCCTCTAAGAAAACGAATGAAAACCTAAATTGCATTAATTCAGCATATTCTAATTATTATCACAATTGTTTCAATTCTAAGACGCTGTAGCTATCAAACCCTAATTGATTTGCTCATTCATCCCAACCAGCACACCATTGACACACCTTATGGCAACATTTTTTAGCTGAATCCCACATTTCTACATTGCGAAGAAAGAACCTTGATCTAACTGATAAAAACTATCGTTTTTATCAGTTGCAGTGACAGGAGTGACGAGTTACTGTCCTGACGCTTCGTAGTACTATTCCTTCCATGCAAAAACTATGCATGAATGGGTTTTAAATTATTCTGAATTACTATAAAAGTGCAACGGTATAGGTGCATGCGTAACCTCTATACAATTTATGAAAATTTCAATGGATTGGAAATATGAGCAGTTTCAGACGTTACAATTTGGAAATTTGTGTAGTACGAGTCTAACTCAAGATTTCACCGAATGTATAAGATGGTATTCAAGTTTATTTTTTAATTTCAGTTTCAGTGAAAGCTGAGTACAAGTCAAGGCCTCTTGTATTTGGAGGAGGGCTCTCAGGCTACTACGAATTCACGAAGTTAGAATTCCATTGGGGATCGGACGAGACCCAGGGATCAGAACACACCATTGAAAGTGTGCAGTGAGTCTTCAATCAAACACCGATCGGGTTTAAAGCATATGTTGCAATTTATAGCGACTTACGACGATTATAACAACCCAGCGGGTAAAGTAATTTGTAATTCTTGCTAACTTTTGACAATACTGAATGATCATTATGAAACTAAAGTTCATGAAAATCGTAGCTGAAGTTTTACTTGTGCCCGCAAATTTCCGCTCTTCCAGGTATCCTCTTGAGCTCCACATGGTGCACTCTCAAGTTGGCCTGACGTCGGAAGAAGCCCTGAGCCAACCCCAGGGTCTCGCGGTGCTGGCAATCTTGTTCGAGCTTTCGACGACCGACAATCCCGTCCTGGACCACATACTGAGAGCCATTGATAACATCAACACCGCACCTGGTACGAGTACTCAATACTAGCTTGTAAGCTGGAATGAGTGTTGATGTACGATAACATTGATTTTATGATGTATTGATGAACGATTACATGTATGAACCATTGATAAGATCAACATCGCACCTGGTACGAGTACTCAATACTAGCTTTATGCTAGAATGAGTATTGATGTATGATAACATTGATGTATGATGTATTGATGAACGATAACATTTATGAACCATTGATAAGATCAACATCGCACCTGATACGAGTACTCAATACTAGCTTGTAAGCTAGAAAGAGTGTTTAGCAGGCTCAGTGTATGATTCGGTGAGAACAAAATTTCACAAACCAATGATTAATATTCTCAAGTCGCTCAGAATCACCTGTTTAATATTCACTATTACACACTCACCATAACTAGGGACTTATTTCCTCACGCCGTAGCAATTTGCAGGCGATGTAAGTCCACGTATGGAGGTAACGTGGTTCGAACTTCAATCAAGTTCTTGTAGACATTATTTAATAGAACATTTAATAGAATAGCATCACATATTGGGAACTGAAAGTAATTGATTATCAAACAATCGGAATTCTCATTCGTTTTTTTAGTTTAGCTATCATTAAAATTTATTTCGTATTTTGAAAGTTTATTGAATTTCATTAATATTTTAGTAAAATTTTATGCAAGTTCTATCAAAGCTTCATATTTTCTAAGTTTCATTTCCAACAATTTACTACACTTGCTCTGGGCATAGATTTTTTTTACGCATTCCTAGCATTCTTAACATCTACGCATAATACATGTTCAATATTACCTATGTTCAATATTACCTACTTTATTCAGTATGATGTATTGATGAACGATTACATGTATGAACCATTGATAAGATCAACATCGCACCTGGTACGAGTACTCAATACTAGCTTTTAAGCTAGAATGAGTGTTTAGCAGGCTCAGTGTATGATTCGGTGAGAACAAAATTTCATAAACCAATTATTAATATTCTCAAGTCGCTCAGAATAACCTGTTTAATATTCACTATTACACACTCACCATAACTAGGGACTTATTTCCTCACGCCGTAGCAATTTGCAGGCGATGTAAGTCCACGTATGGAGGTAACGTGGTTCGAACTTCAATCAAGTTCTTGTAGACATTATTTAATAGAACATTTAATAGAATAGCATCACATATTGGGAACTGAAAGTAATTGATTATCAAACAATCGGAATTCTCATTCGTTTTTTTAGTTTAGCTATCATTAAAATTTATTTCGTATTTTGAAAGTTTATTGAATTTCATTAATATTTTAGTAAAATTTTATGCAAGTTCTATCAAAGCTTCATATTTTCTTAGTTTCATTTCCAACAATTTACTACACTTGCTCTGGGCATAGATTTTTTTTTATTCAGATCCAATTTACAACCGAGCCAGCTCGCTGTGTGACATTCCCAAATAAAAATTGTGAGTGGAGCGCCTACGTTTTTATAATTGCTATCGGCGGACGCCATAGGTGGAGCAACTATTATTTATACAGTGAATTAAGAGTGGCGTGCAGCCGTGCACCACCTATCCCACACCTATAACCTGCAGATGGCCCCCCTACACGTAAAGCTCTTCTTCCACCAATAACTATCCATTGACACCAGTGGCGCATCGATGAGCCACCGATGGCCACCTTTAAAGTGAAGTCGATAGAAATTTTCAATTTAGTTTCAAATACGATGCTTTCGTATTTACTAATATTGCTTCATACAATCACTATTCTAAGGGCTCCGTATGAGAATCCACAATGGCAGTACAAGTAACAATGCTAGAAATGTATCAGGAACAAATTATCTGAGTACCGTACACACGCCTCGTGAGAAATCGACTTGAAAAAAGTCCCTTCCAGCAGGATTCGAACTTCGGTCTTCCACACGCGAAGCAAAGCCTCTACCGTTGAGCCATCGGAGAGGACTTGGCACCTGAGTCGTATTAAAATATCTAAATGAAGTATTGCAAGCATTAATTTCATCAAAGACACCGTGATGATTAGATGGTTACATCAAGAATTTCATTTGAACATGCTGCTATATTCGAGTAAACAGCCACTGAGAGGAATTTCGTTTATCCATAACGAACAATGGTTCAGCTCGGAGTAAAGGCTACCGGAAAATAACTGATAAGCATCGAAGTTTCACGATGTGAACATTATACAAATTTTGACATCGGTTTGATTTAAAATATTTTCACGGAGAATATTCTTGAAAAAAGGAATTCATATCACTCGATGATTTTAAATGACAGGCGTGAATTACCTGCACCACTTCGAATCACTATTTTTCTGTAGCCTAACCTTTAATCTTTTGCGTCGGAAAGATACCGGTACCACTCTAGCAGAAATTTAGACTTGAAATCGAAATAATTATCTGACTGTATAAGCAAATTTCCCCTAAATAATTTAATTTCACTATCGAAGTCGGCGATAGAAAACCAAATTTTTATTCGGATCCCTCTGCGTAAAAAAACATACTTTTGTTGACAAGCAAATTACCCGAAACTACATATTTCAAGCAGTCCAGCAGCTATCTCAATCAATCGTCAGCTATGGAAAGATCGGGTTCCAAGGCCGGATCCCTTGTGAATCAAGTCACGAAAAGTTCAAGAATCTTCAACAGGCCATGGGCCTATTTCTTCAACGCCGACACTTCTATTCCATTCTTAGGGTACGCACACAGTGAAAACAGGTTTGCCCGCGTGGGCAACCTGTTCCAACCTGCCACAAGAATGGACATAGGATAATAATGCAAGCGTTCACAGTGAAAACCTGTACGAATAGGCTTCTGTATGCTATGGTTTCAGGCGCCAGCCTGAGCAGGTAACCAGCACGCTGGCAACCTGCTTTCACTGTGTGCGTACCCTAACATGTTAAAGATTAGTAGGAAGTTCAACGCCGACGCGCGTCAACCTAGCTCGTGTGAACGTGTGCTTCCTAGACTTGCTCGCTGCGTTTGAGGGCTGCACTCCGCTGCAGAGCCGCTGCCCTTTAGAGATGCCTAGGTGCTGCAGACTATGTCAACGTAGCTTTAGAGTTTAGATGAGTGGGGGCAATTTGAGAAGATTGTATATATTATATAACACACTTAATCGATCCATGAAATTCATACCTAATGATACATTAGTTAGTCCGAATTGATCGCAATATTTCCAACACAGCCGGTTGGCGCATACGCAAAATTCGCAATAAATTTACTGAATATCTCATGTGAACATAAATAATTGGATTCGCAGTCATCTTTTGAAAAACTATTTTCTTTTNTTCATTTTGGCTTGATAAATTTGTGAACACCTTGCTTCTATCTGTCAGTTTTACTCGAACCTACGGAATTCACGCTAAATCTTAATAAGTTTTCTTAACAGAACCTAACCTTAAAAACCAAGCACACAGAACGAAGTCATGGTTTCGTCTTGATCTCGAATGACCCGCAACCCAATAACACCTTTATACGTTGGATAAATTACAGTGGCAATTACCTTCGTGCACTGTGCGCTTTGGGCAAACGGTTGTCGGTGGCTTACAAGAGTGTCATCGATGCAATGTGCCATCGATGATTCAGACCCTGTAAATCATCGATGATTCATCGATTATTCCCACCTATACATGCCACCATCTCGATTTATTGGTGTTTTATTGTCGATTTTAGGCAGATGTGGTAGCCCTCCGTTATGCCTCCTATAATTTACTATCACCACCTATAATCATCGATGCACCACCCATAATTTTTATTTGGGTTAGCAGAATATTGGATAAAATTAAAGAGGTAAAGTCAAATTAATGCGATTATTATTTAGATTATTATTAGTACTATTTTATGTACTTGACAGATCACATGGCGCAGGTCTTTCACCCGTACGCGTTGGCTTCTCTGCTACCTGACGACGTTCGCCGCTACTACCGCTACGACGGCAGCCTCACCACGGGCGTTTTCAACGAGGCCGTCGTCTGGACCGTCTTCGCGCAGCCCCTCCACGTCTCCAGGGCTCAGGTACACGTGCATGAAGAACAGAATTAAAATTTTGAGCCAAAATTTATAAATATTTCAGTAGCAAATACGATTGTATTTAATTAATTGAAATTTTTCCAGTTGACGAAATTGCGAACGCTGAAAGACGAACAAGGCGGCATACTTCAGAACAACTTCCGGACCCCTCAACCGATTAATAAGCGCAAAGTAAGCTTTATTATTGTCAGTTGCTTTGTATCTCTCAAATATCTTTATCGGAATCTTATCTATCCGTTGACTCAACTACTAAAGCCACTCAAATAATTTCTCAATTTGTTATCAAATTTCAGTTTTAAAACCATTATTCATTCCACCTTAAGGTGTATAATTGAATCAATGTCGGTCAAAAATCCCCAGTAACCTTAGAAATATACATTTTATACTCAACTATACGGCAATTTTCACAAATTATCACCTCATCGCAAATTCTACAGAGCGGTTGCCGGCTTTCAAAATTTGCATGTGCCAGAAATTTTGAGTTATTAATTTTTTCAGCCCTTCTGTCTTTGTTTTAATAGTCGGCAGCACCTGCGTCTTGAAGTAATTAATTTGATGATATATTTTCTCTCGGCGCAGGTGTACCGTTCGTGGCTTTAGCCGTCATGACACCGCAACACCACACGCCGTCTCCGAAAGAACCGGAACGTTTTAACCAGTTTTCTAGCTCATTAACAAATCAAAATTATAGCCAGAAATGGCCCGAAGATAGCGGAGAGGTTATCGTTTAATTGGTCTACAGCGAAGACCGGCCGTCACCTCAATCGCTCCGCTCTACTCTCCTGCGTTTGTTGTTCTCTGAGTAAGGAGCGCAGCCGTAGGCCAAAAATGTTCGTAATCCATACAAGCGACACACTGCCGAAAGATAATAGCGCTGTAGGTCTTCAGACAAAGCTTAAGCATGCTCGCTCATAAGCAGTCAGTTCTTCATCCGGCTATACCTACTCCGGCCTAACCTTTTTGGCCTAACCTTTTCACGCTGTCCCGGCACACAACCTTATTACAGCCAATGACTGGCTCTACCAGCACACTTGGACCGCCTTTCTAACTTCCTGCAGCCAATGAGGTTAGGTTAGGTCCGCTCAGGCTTTATTTGGGTGGAGAAATGTTGCAACTTGCGTAGGTTGGGCCTGAAGAGGTTTGGCCAGATGCAGTATGGCCATGCTTACCTTTAGCAAGATATTTTGTGGCTGTGGACACCCAGCGCTACGACTTTTAAGAAATTGACTTCATAGGCTGTTAAGCCCTCTAGCGTTCTTATCTACGGAAAAAAGTATGAACTAAATGTGAAGTTCGTCATTGCTGGCCTCTGCATGCGCCTCCTCTCTGAGACATTTTATTTTTAAGGCGAGAGTAATGCGCGTTCAATACTTTCCGTGACACTAATTCTGTAAGCATGTTTTTTGTTTCGCCATTAATCTATAATATCAAGTTGTAGTTATTCATTTTTTCGCTATTTTATAACCTTGCATTTACTTTCTTGTCGTTCATTTCATCGTATCGATCTGATGACATTGAGGTTGTTATATTAAATTTTGTGTTGAATTTTACCGTCACATTGTATGTCTGGACTAATTTTTTTCATGATGATTCCACTATTTATTTCTTTTATTATTTCCTCGGCATTAATTTTTCCCCCTTAATTAATCGATACTTTTTGAATTATTTATTATTTTCGTTGGAAATAAAAAGTTTTTCAGGAATTAAATGATACCTTCTCATTGTCGTTTTATTGCCAATTATGTGCATTGATTTGTTAAATGATTTTATCAAGCCACTTATTGAGATTTAGTTAAATTCAATCAATTATTTACTCAATTCATTATTCTTATATAACGCATATTTTCCTTGGCTAATTTAAATTTCGAAGCTAATTTCAACTTATTATGTTAAAAGAATTGCAACTCGAAATCATACAATTCTTTCAAATTAGTTATATTAAATCAAATGTTCTCAGATTAAACTGCATTGCATTACTATGCTGTTTACGTCAAAATTCAGAATGAATCAATGAACGGGACCATTATCCACTTCATTTTTGTACAATTTTTACCGATGAATTTTTTTTACCGCTTCGGACAAATTTAGGGCCGGACTCGCGGTCGGTCTCACGGCCAATCTCAAAATTCAATTATCAAGGAATATCTCCCAAAGTAATGAACGCAGTTTGATGAAACTTGGTACGCGTATTCATTAGGACCTGATGGTAATGTTTAGCTTATGGAAATTTTTTTAAATTTCTCCCTCATTCCTGAGTCACGGGCCTAAATGGCAGTAAACAAGGAATTTCTTCAAAGCTACAGAACAGATTTGAACGAAATTTTGATTATACATTCCTAATTAACAAACGGTGATGTTTAGCTCGATCGTGATAATTTTTTAGATTCTGCCTTCGCTCGCGAGTTATACGGATATACGGAGAAACGACTGGCATTTATGAGGCCGATTTTTTCAAATTTGCATTGTCCAAGATTGTATAGCCGTATAACTCGCAAACGAAGGCAAAATATCAAAAATTGTCACGAGCTAAACATTATCGTTGGAAGGTTAGGTATTTTTATACAAAGATTTGTTCAAATCTGTGAAGCAGTTGAGAAGATCACTGAGTTTAGAAGAGTGATCTACTATTTAGAAGATCACTCTTGATCACTGAATTTAAGCACGTTTTGCTATGTAACTCACGAATGAAGATGCAATGGAAAAAAGTCGCGAACAAAAGCAAAATCGAAAAAATTTTCATGAGCTAAGCATCAAAAATTTTCAAAATTTCGTTCAAGTCTGTTCAGTAATTTGGAAGAAATTCCTTGATCACGGCGAATTTCGGCCGGTATCGCCAGATAACTTTATAAAGGCGAAATTTAAAAAATCTTCTCGAGCTAAACATTACCGTTAGGTCCTAATGAATAGGTGTACCAAGTTTCATCGAGCTGCGTTCACTAGTCTTGGAGATATTCTTTAATCGTTGAATTTGGAGCCCCGCCGCGAGTCCGGCCGTAAAATTTTCCGAGACGTTTATTGCGGTACCCAGGCAACACGCGGCCGTTGGCGGTCTCGCAGCCATGCAAATGCACCACACGGTGCTCGATATCGGAAATTTCGTCTGCACTGCATTAGGTCTTTCATGAAACACATAATATCTCACTGTTTATATATAGTTCTCTAACACATAATGTCTCATTGCTTCAATTTTTTGCAGACAAGGGAGGATATAAAGGATAGTTATAGATTAACACGATTTTATTTTAATTTCCATTAAGATTATGAGCTTCGAGTTTTCTACCACAAATCAGCTTGTAGTCGATTTGCAATATAGTTGCACCATACCTTGGACCTGCCTTTTACCCTTGGATAATGGAACTCTGGCTGATGTATTAAATGAAATTTAAACAATGCTACTGATGCAAGAGCTTCTGCAATATCAAAGTTTAAAGAGTAAATTTTGTGTTATGTAGAAGACTTTCGGTTTATATTAGCATGAAGTTTGTATTGGAACTATTCACGCTATTACAATCGAAGCTATGAGCAACAGTTATTTTACTTACTGTTTCAAAATGCAGATTGTATGGCGGGCCCCGAAACAGCTAATCAGTCTTAAGGAAATTGTAACACGGACATGAACTCAAGAAAAGTCTCGGAAGATGAAAGCAATTAAAGGAATTCATTTCGATCGCGTTAGAGTTATTTGTCTCGACCGAAATCATTCGGCTCATGAAAAATTTACAATACTATCTTATTTGTCCGTTAAGTTATGTTGAAGTACTAGGTACTTCGAACTGCAATTTTGACAATACTATCTCGTTTGTCCGTTAAGTTATGTTAAAGTACTAGGTACTTCAAACTGCAATGTTGCCACAACAAAAGGAGATCGGCTAGCCAAATTATTGTGAAAATTCAAACAATATTTAATAAATCGCATTATTTAAACTCAGATCTCGATTATTACCCCAGCAACACTTCGGCCCTGCATCTGGAGTAACTTCAAAACTGTTTAAAGTTCTCTCATAAAATCCACCCAATGTCTATTTGCGCATTATACGAGTATCTATCGAAAATTCCTTAGAAATTTCCATTATTTTCGTGTAAAGAACCTCTTCCAGCCAGTGATCTTCATTTTTAAAATTCGCCTGGTCCATACAACACAGTTCACTAGCTTTCATTGATAAGCCATTTAAGACTAACAGTCTGCATTGTATGACTCATTATGTCGTCAATAATCATAACAAGAGTCATACGCCAATCAACTTGAACAGAACCTGTTTAATATATCAGGTAAATCTCCGCAGAGTTTGAACACTTTATAATTAATTACCTGAGCCATCTTCATAATAACCTCGATTCAAATAATAATTGGTAGCAAGAACATCCCTCCTCCACTGTACAGAGGCATCATACTGAGCAGGCGATTATGACAGAATGATGTCGATTTTATAGCGGTTCGAGTTCTGAGATGGATGAGAATAACAGACACGAGGTCGTTATTAAGAACTGATCTGTATGCGAAGACTGCATTTCTTCTCCTGTGGTTCCAAAATAGCTCAACCTCAACCGACTTTGCAGCTACGTCACGGCTGAAGCATCTGCCGTGGAATACGAACATCTTAACCAAATATACGCGTACTCATATGTACTCATATGTACTCACCGGTCATCTCACCATTCCATTATTAGACACTGTTCCAATAACGAAGATTATTTGTAATTCTATTTCAATGTCCTGAAATCCCGTTATGTGTAAATTCAAGGGAGTAGTGCTCGTGTCTGATTGATAGTGTCTATTGATAGTTTACTCACAACTTTTATCTAGTCATTCATTTATATTTTCATCTAGTCATGCAAATTACGTTTTCAGTTCAGTTTGTTTCATTTCAGAATATTTCTTGACACATGAATAAACCACACAACAAAGAATATTTCTTCGTAGTGTAGAATATATATTTAACAATATTTCTTTCATTATTGAATAAAGCACACTACAAAGAAATAGATGGCTGAAAAGTGGATAGTTATTTGCTGAGTTAGTGTTATTTACAGTACGAATGTATAGCCTGTAGGCAGACTGGGCGGAGCAGCTGCAATACACGTAAGCTTGGAAGTCAATGCACGCGCCCTCTTATGTTATACCGGTCTTGTCTTGCCGGCCATCACACGAGCCATCGCCCAGCGAGTTGGTGCTCGGGTTAACGCTCCCGCCAAACCTGAAAACAATAATTCTGGAAAAGTTGCCCGCACAGTTTCTCACTTCTAGTATGTTTTGAACGAAGAACTATTCTTGAGCCGTGTTTATACATACTAAAAGGTAGAACATAGCTTTATATTCTGGGAAGAAAATAGTACGGTTGCTTATGTATGGTTGGTACTTAGAATCCTCTGCTGTGTACTAAGTTTTCCAAGGGAAACATACCTCTCATTCAAACCTAAAATTAGATTTCATGATATATGTATATTCGTATTTCTTTGATGTAGTAGGTATAGTAAATAGGTTCATACTTAGTAGGTTCATACTTAGATGAAAAAACTAGATAAAATGAAAAAAATGCATGTAATTGAGTGATGATCTATATTATGAGCTCATGCTTTGTAACTAAACAGTATCAAACAAACTTGGAATTTATTGCCTCGATATTCGGTTTTCATCAAATATAACAAGGAAATAATGATGACAACGTTTCAGACGCTCACAATTCAAAGAAAAGTCACGAACTTCCAACCGCGAATACTGAGCGACGTAGATAAATCCAAACTTTAGCACTAAGATAATTCCAAACTAAGCGCCATGCATTCATGCCACGGCACAGCGCCATGCTTTTATGCACACGGGTACACAGGAGTTGAAGTAGCTCGAAATTAGCATCTCATAAATGTAATTGGTAGTTGACTTGATTTTGTTGCATGTTATTTAAGTCATCAGTGGTTTTTATCATGAAATGGATTATCATCATTCATTCTTGGTATAAGTGAGCGCCATACTAAATTGGCGTCAGGTGCAACATGTCCGGGTCCCTTTAACAAATACGTATTTTGAAAACTTGCGATTCTCATCCAACTTGTTACTATAATGAACCATTCATGTGATTTGCTGCTACCATGATTAACTATTCTGTCATTTAAATGACAACCGTCTATTTTCCGTTATGATCATTTGTCAGAGTTTTTGAGTCTAAAATTATTATCCGAATAACCGCGTATAACTACAGATCGGATCTTGAATAAATCGGAATCCAAAGGGTTTCACTCAAACAAATCAGACTGGATTCCGATTTCATGTTACGCTGCAGTATTCTAAGATCTCGTTGTTATTGCTCAAGTACCGTGTTCTGCATCATGTCTTCGTTACTCAAACGACTCAATCCACGTGATCTGAAATTGGTTCACTGTGGATGCAGGACAAAATTTAGATGCAGGTTAGACTCTGGAATAGGTGTGATCAGATGTCCAAGCAGAAACTGAAAACTTGAACGCTAGCTAGTGTAAAGACCCATACAGGCAGAAGCCTCGGTGGTGCCCCTTTTTGTTCGGGACAGACGGCACCACATACCTGAATGCATTTCTAATTGATTTTCAACAGTTATAACTGCTTGAAATATAAGTTAGGATTTATCTTTCCAAAATATTTCTCTTAGTGTAAATACAATTGAACATTCAATTAATGCAAACGATGAAAACACTTCAATAAGAGTAAAATTAATAGAAATTGATTTATATTAATGATTGAAAGCTTTATATGAACCTGTTTACGTTAAGAGATCTCACTTCTTCACACGAAAAATATTCTAAATCATTTAATAAACATTCCATTCAATCAAAAAATAATATAACATATTTTGCATTCCTAATCATAATGATTTTTAGCGGTTCCAGTGGGTTCATATATGTGACAATAGATCGATCATGCGTGCTGATGCCTTCAATTAACAAACAGTTCATTAACATTCAAAAAGAATATTTTTCGTAACCGTTTATCAGCTGGTATAGTCATAAATTTCTTAGATTTGCTTACTGGGACCTAAACAAAAGATGCGTCTTTTTTTGTACGTTCACAGAACTTAGTTACATCTGTCGGCACCGCGAATAGAAAAAAAAACTTGGTTTGGTTTTCCATCAAATCTGTTAATTTTGTTGCCCTCGTTTTATATTGGAGACCTAAAAAATAGAGTTTTATAACAGGTTACAATATTTTCCCCTTCATTTGTTGTTCAGCGTGCTATTGTAAATAGGAAAAAATCGTCCTTCTATAGATTATCCTTGATCTACTCATTCTACTGTATAATTTTTACAACTCAACATTACATCGAAATTTTGATGAGATTTTCTTCTGTTCCCTCGGTGATTTAACAAACTTACCTCTCCATTCACTACTCAAGCACAAACAACATAAAAAACAAATCACACTAAAATTTTTATTATTTACACTTCATGTTAAAAAAGATTTGGACCGGAGGACGCAGGAAAAAGAAACCTGTACCACTCCTAGGCAGTTAAATGTAACCTGCAACATTTGGATTGAAGTTATTGTGAATTTGTAGTCTTATTTCTCTTTATCCCCGTGGTTGATCGCTTAAATTTGAAACGGAATGATTAACCATACTCAAAGTTAATGTCACTCAGCATAAAATGTTCGTTATTCATATCCTATGAGGAAAAAATCACCTTCCTACACTTTTATCAAATTTAAGTTTCACTTTGCTCTCCTTAAAAGTAGTTCGATATTACAAAGCATCATCAGGGACATGGCATGAATTAAAAACGAGTCAACATGTGACTTCCACCTGCGATGTAACCGGGAGCTACTCCATGATGTTCGCCAGGGCGCAGTCGGCTTACATCAGCAAACCGAGATGGCTGCTCATCTTCTACATGTTTTTGCCTTATGCTTGATCAACGGTAAGTCGCTTAATGTACATCAAACAGTTATACCAGTACAACGAAGTTGAATATTTTTAATTAACCGCTCTGAATGGTACCTGGTCGCCCAATGAGATAAATTATTATTAAAAGAATTATAAATCCACACATTCAACGATTTTATTTTCTGACCAAATTAGAACTCTGAAGTTTTCGACACTGAAATTATCATTACAATTATAGTTGTATTCTGTATGTTCAGTAACAAAAATTGTACAGTGGCCAAATATGGTAACAGTAAATTTATTCTAATTATGCAAAAGACGGTAAATTTATTCCAATTATTCGATGTTGGAAAATATGACGGGTACAATGCAATTAGAAAAAACCCTAATAGAAAATATGAAATAACCACAAGGACCGATAATTCCGGTTGTGCATAATTCTCAGTAAATGACTTATCCAGAAAAGTCTCCTCAGAGTATTGCATGGTTGGACAAGATTTTAGCCGTGATTAGTAAAGGGCACACAAAATTTGCGCCTGTATCCACCTTCATTCAACAATGATCGGCTATATGATCGTGGACAAGGTACAGATATAATATTATTTCTTATTTATGAGAAATTAAGTTTTATTTCATTATGCCACTCATGCAGTTGGACACAATCCATCATCGACCGATATATAATAATGGTAATAGCGGTTTCGACGTTTATTAGACCGTAAGCCTATCGCCGATTCTTAACATCGCAGAACATTCACAGCTTGTTGCGGTCTCGAACTCGCAACTCACTGCTCCAATTCTACTGTGCTTAACCGCCCGGCCTCCTCGCCGGTTCCTCCGGAAACTGTCACACAGAGCTGGGATTGAAATATAGCAACTCTCCCTCCCAATCTTACAGTAGTACTCGGAATTGTAGCCACTATGCCACCTTGCCCTCACTTACATTGCTCACTTTATTTTACAAGTACATGACAAATATTTTGTAAGGATATAAAACATTATTTTTCCTCTCATATTGTAATACTTTTTCTTTTGTATTTATATATTTTCAATGGGAAAGTAACCGTGGGCTACAAATTTAACTATACAATAAGCCCTGCGCTTCAGCATGCAATAACTATACAATCGAACTGAGAACTAGTAAATGCATTTTACTCTGGAACACCGTAATTCAGATCAGTAATACATTGCATAAAGTCAATAGCACTGTAGGTTTTCAGCCAAGTCTACATGCTCGCTAACAAGCAGGCCGTCTTACATACGACCGAACCACCTCCAACCCAACCTCTTCGCGCGTTACCTATTCACGTTTTCCCCTCACAACCTTCTTACAGTCAAAGACTCTGGCTCTACCTGCTCATTTGCCTCTACGGTTCAACTTCCACCCAGTCAGTGAGGTTAAGTGAGGTCCGTGCAGGTTTATTTTAGGTGGAAAAATTAAGAAACGTGAATTAGTTAAGCGGGGAAATTAGGCCGAAGTAGGTTTAGCCAAAATCGGTATGAATATGTTCTACTGCTCTCCATAATTAGAATTGTTATTGCGATACGGTATACGTCTGAAATGTCCTTTCGATACCTCGAATTCGAATTTTCATATCCAACGAAAAGAATACAGTATATCCCATCCATATCCAATTCATATCCAATCTACAGAATTAGTATAGAAAAGTAATTAATATTAGAAAAGTAATTAGTAATATTAGTATATTAGAAAAGTAATTCGAACATTTTATCCGGTGTCAATCTGGCGTCTCATTATATTCAATATTCATATTATAAGATTCGATCAATATAATTGAGACGAGATAGAGATTGGTGGAAAAATACCAGACTTGAGTCAGCGTCTGGAAACATCACGCGATACATCACGCGATAGCCGTGATTCTATAAACGGGCTGGGCGCGCCGCGATGTAACTCGCGTTAGAATTGTTCCGACTTAACGGCCGACGCCTTAGTTATACCTGTATCGTACCACTCATGTATTACCACCCCGTATCAAGATAAGTTCTCTAGACAGATGGTGTCTTACTTATCCCTCACTAAATTGGTCAACGAACCCTGTAATCAGGTGGCGCTTAATGTATAGAGCGCTGACAATTGTAAATTCGAGTCACTCTGAGATCGTCAATGGAAGATTCCTTTTTTCTAATTCCTTTCTATACCTATTACCCATTTTGCCTAAGGCATTGAGTTACAACCTATCACTTAAATTTCAGTTTAGTAACGTGTTTACATTCTAATCTCTGTGATTCCAATGGAAAAATTGTCTTCCAACGTAAATGCATCCAGATTTTCAAAAGTTGTATTGTGATATGATTTTTATTTTATTTCACCTTGTTGAATATATACGTTTGAATATATTTCCGATTTTTTTCTTCCGCACAGGAGCGATCGCATCCGAATGGAGCTATGCCGGTGAGTACAATTAAGAATGAAAATATAAATCCAATTCTCAGCCTTGAATGATATATATTCAATTTAAGTCGTTTTTGTTATGACTTGGAGATTTTTTGAGACTGTTCTCTTTTACTCATATTTCCTGGAAGTTAGACCAACCTAGCATGATAGCGTACCATCGTAGGAGCAGTTTTTCAAGACAGGCTAGAATATACTCGGGGACCATCAAACGCATATGGCCCACTTGGGCAGTCGTAATTTAATTTTTATTTTAATAACTAATAGATCAACAATAGAGAAGACTGGCCAATCGCAAGATCGGCCAGTCGACATCACTATCACCTTGGCTTCCTAGAACGCAGCAAAGAGCATATATCCCTTTCAAACTTTTTATTCCTGTTAGCCGCTGGCACAAAAACGACCCAAGCTCGCCTAGCGCTTAAATTAGCGGCTCTATGTCCATTTTAGGTTCCGGTTGCCGGAGTAAAATAAACACCGAATCAGATTATTGTCGAATACCTTGCGCGCTTGAGGAGATCGTAGGGCACGCGAGCTTAGGCGATATTTCCAGAGAGGTACGGCCGAAACTAACAAGCGACATTCACCAGAATCCAACATTCCCTATGTCATCAGCACCATGCATCCTACCACGTCGCCAGCAACAAAAATTCTATCACGTAACCAGAAGCATACATTCCACCACGTCAAAAGCGCCAAGCATTCTACTACGTCACCAGCACCATGCAGTCTACTCCGTCACTAGCACCATACATTCTTCCACGTCACCAGCACCATGCATTCTTCCACGTCATCAGCACCATGCATTATACCACGTCTCCATCACCATGCCCTCTACCACGTCACCAGCAACATGCATTCTATCACGTCACCATGACCATGCATTTTACCACGTCACGTCACCAGGATCATGCATTCTACTACGTCACCAGCCCCATGCATTCTTCTACGTCACCAGCACCATTATTTCTTCCACGTCACCATTACCATGCCTTATACCACGTCACTACAATCATGCATTCGTCCACGTCACCAGCAATATGCATTCTTCCATATCACCAGCACCATGCGTTCCATAATGACTGCACCTTCGTGAATGAAAATACGAAGTTTATATAGAATTAGGGTTTTCAGGAGTTTACTAGCGCAAAGTAGATTAATAAATTCCATTTTACATTATACTGATAGATGTGGCAAACATTTACGGTAAGACACAGTCAAAGTCAAGCGTTTAATGGGATGTGCTTTTACAGACTATTTCACGTTGCACGACTGCTCGAGTAATTGAAACGGGAACAGGCATAGAGGGGGGTTGCGGCTTTAATAGCAAGTTTCGAAACAATAAATATATGTCGACTTCCAATTTCGTTTGTGAGTACTAGCAAAACCAACCAAGACCTCAGATGTAATCAACTCGATCGTCCATTTTCTCAAGTTTCGACGAAGTGGAGTGAAGTAGTTAGTACGTACGTGCGAATGAACGTAAGTAGCTTGGTAGATTGCAAAAATTTCCTCTCGGGCCCGGTTCGTTTTTTTCTTGCACAGCGAGTGCATTCATTGAGGAAGGATAAATATTTAAGATAAATATTTAAATCGTCAAATCCTCGAAAAATTTTTGTTATATGCATCACTCTGCTTTCTACAGTAATTCAAGTCAATGATTTAACTAAAGGCTTTAACTTTAAAAGACGTCGGCATCATATGATTTTAAAACTCGAGTTGCCTCTGGAGAAAATAGATTAGTCTGAATAAAAGTCTCACATAGGTTGCCAGTTGACAATAATAAATTTACCAAGCTATAAAACGCAAAGAGTTGAAAATAATAAGAAATTCTCCATCCAGAAATTGAAAAAGAAAAGAACTATCTGGATGTTTCAGAGGCTTTAAAATAGTTTTCATCATTGCAACCTCAAAAATGCAGTTTCATAGTTTTCATATAAATTATAGCAGTTCAGTGGCGACTCATGCTGGTCATGTGAGACCGATGATTTTGATTTATGTATATAAACATAGGAGACATTAACAGATTTTAAAACTCCAGCACCTATAATATGCGATTAATAATGTGAGACTCTCGCCGTTTTTAGCGCTTCATAGCTGGAATTGACCAGTAATTAGGTTTGGTGGAGCAACTAATCTTATTTAATTCATCAAGAAGGTGTCTTCATTGCCTGGCTGAAAAGATAAAAAATTTTAACATTATAAAATCTAAGTAATTTGATTATATATTCACTTTTACAGCAATGAAAAATTCAAAGCCCCGTTTTTAAAAGTAATTTCTTTTATGAATTTTACAGTTATTAAAAAATTGAATAATTCAGGGCAGTTTCATAAAATTAATGCATTATGAATCAAAAAATTATAAACTGGCCCTTCATTGCATTAATGACGAGCACTAGTAGGATTATTTTCAATTGAATAATGCCAAAGCAAGCATGCACTAATCATTTTTGAAAGCTTTCTTGCTCGCCCGGTGGTTTGCTGCCCTGCCGCTGCTGGTGCTGCGACTGCGACACCTATTCGTACAGTCGCAGCCTATTACCTATTCCACCTATTCGTTCGTTATCGCTGTCATATTATTTTAGAATTACATGTCAGATTGCAGATGGATTTACCTCATGGAGCTAACGGGGTTTATTTTTTCTGTCATGTGCTTTTTAGCAAGTTTGTTCCTGATTTTTGTCATGTACGTAAAGGAAATACTGAATCACTACCACGTATGATAAGAAAATTTGTGAAGTTAATTCTCATTTTGTTCCATCGTATGACTAAAGCCCCGTCCACACGTTCAAAACTATCGTCAGTCTTGCATGTCATGCCAGGTTTGACCGATTTTGACGGAAGACTGAAGAGCGTCCACACGCTCAAACTTTCCTTCAGTTTTTAGTGCGTTCGCGACAATGGAGGAGGCAGTGCTGCTCGCTGCAGTGAGCGCAGTTTGCGCCACCATAATTAGGTTAAAGTGATGCAAACGTACGCGGTGGTCCGGAAAATGGTTTTAAAAAATACCACAATGAGGGTTGATAGACAGCATTGACGACTCCATTTTGGCACATTCTTTTCGATAAAGAGTTTATTTTCTTCGTTGCAAAACCTTTGTTTGCTGTATAATCAACTTCTTTGCACTTAACTATCAATGCCGCATGGGCCAGTGCTCTCTTGTTCTTGTAACTGTAGCTTTTTGATTGAATTTACCATAAACCTGGGAAACTACGATATAACTCAATGAAATCGCCAAAATTATTCGTGAAACCAGTGTCGGATATCCTAGGATATGAAAGACTAGAGCTAACGAGGAACAATGTCACAGCTCTCATCATCAATATAGACTGAGATAGCGTATAAGTTTGACCAATTAGTCGGTTGCCCGTCCACACGCTCAAACTTATCGTCAGTCTTGCATGAACCCAAAGGTCTCGCCCGTCCGTCTTTTCCAGGTTTGTCAAACCTCAAACTCCGTCCACCCGTCATGCAAGACGTCAAACTTTGAGCGTCCACACGCTCCGTCTTGTCGTCAAACCTGACATGACATGCAAGACTGACGACGATAAGTTTGAACGTGTGGACGGGGCTTTAAGGGGATAGATATCTTGATTGCGAATCGAATGGTATTGTCTCATCGCTGTAACTTCAAAACTCTAGGAGGAGATAGATTTCTACAGTTCCTCTTATTTGGCCGTTTTCTAAGAATTTCACGTTTTCTTTCATTTTTTCGAAAAATGAACATGAATAAAAGCTGTCTATGTGTATCACGTTTCAGAGAGATCCGTCTGTAAACAGCTGAGAAAAAATTTTGCCCAGACGCTCCCCTTAACGAACGTACGCGTGAACATACATCGACGCCCTATCATGAGCGAGAGATGGTCATGGTTCGCTCAAATAACAGCTACTGACCGAGTAGCCTGAGCAGCTGGTCTTTTCGGTCTGATTACGTATAAGCGGCCCATCGTTCAATCGACTACCGCAATCGGCTCCTAAATAGACGCTGAATTAAGTATTTGGCCGATAGGCGCCTGATTTACCTCTGATCCGTCTGTGTGTACTCTGGACGGCCCCTAAAGGAATGTAAAATTCGACTGGGATCCTATTACCAGGCCATTGAAATTTGCATGCATTCAATCGGCAATTTATTAGTACCTGCTTAAATCTGAAAATAGTCCAATTAAAAAGTATAAAAGTTTAAGACTAATATAAATGTATATCGGTCTTTAAAATGTTAATTCGGGTGAACTATTGAAAATATCTCTGATTATTGCAAAAAACATACTCTAAAGTAAGTGTGAAAATCATGTCATTATAGATAAAGACCAGTGGCCTGTGGAGTTCCCTGTGAGCTGCAACGGGCAACACGAGTCTCCCATCAACATCGTGAGACTGCAGACGAGGTGGGCCTGGCTTAGCCCGGCCATGCCCTTCCAATTTACCGACTACCACACGGTGCCTACATCCATGACTGCGGTCAACAACCACCACACGTGTGAGAAATCTCAAGTATTCCTTTCATTAAAAATTAACTTGCAATCAACAATCAAGACCAATCAAGAAATGTATCCTGTTTTAACATTCATATAAACATCCGGTCAAATTTTATTTTAATAATTCAGTCCTAACGGCCTAATTTGAAATTTATTTTCAGAAATCTGGATACGATACTTACTTTTACAAAAGGCATTCGAACATCCTTGCATTTCTTGTTGAAGTAACATTTGAACACTTTCGCTTTTCCGCTCTGGTAGGTTATTGAATGTTGGTACACATCATAAGACTGAAAGTACAACTTGAACAACTTGGGTTAAGCACTGTACTGAATTGTTATCTTGTTTCCTAAATTAGAAAGTTATTTTCAGTATCAACAACTGCTACGTATGTCACGAAGCCTCGCATTAGCGGCGGTGGCCTCCCATACACTTACGAGTTCGTTAACTTCCACTTCCACTGGGGGGCGGACGAGTCCCAGGGGTCTGAACACACCATCGACACTGTTCAGTGAGTCTTAAGTTCAATTCAAAGTCTTTTAGGACTGCTTGCTTGGGAGTTAGTGTTTACTTCCTATGCAAAATTTCAGCAAGCTGTGAACAATGAGCCCAGTGCAGTTTATCTTAGACACACTGTCGACATTCTTCAGCGAGTCTTTAATTAATTCAATTCTTATTATTAATTGAATTGGGTACTCGGTGATTGGTGTTAACTTCCATGCAAAGTTTTGGTAAGCTTTAAATTATGCATTGGCCATGTGCATTTCATCTTTACTTGCATTCAGATCATTATAACGCCGAATCAGGCGCCGAATCAGATTATTAAATAAACGCCGAATCAGATTATTGTCGAATACCTTGCAAGCTTGAAGAGATCGTAGGGCGCGCGAGCTTGGGCGATATTTCCAGAGAGGTACGGCCGAACCTAACAAGCGACATTCACCAGAATCGAACATTCCCCATGTCACAAGCACCATGCATTCTACCACGTCACCAGCACCAAACATTCTGCCACGTCACCAGCACCACACATTCTATCACGTAACCAGGAGCATCCATTCCACCACATCAAAAACGCCAAACATTCTACCACGTCAGCAGCAATGTATCAACTTGTAAGCTTTGAATTATGCATTGGCCATGTGCATTTCATCTTTACTTGCATTCCAAGTCTGGCTGAAGAATGAACTGCCCAGAAATGCTTTAGTTTGTCTTTACTTAAATGGAGAGCATTAATAACAAGTTAACATAAAAGTTGTTTTTAGAAGGATTCTTCGCAGTCCACTCAGTCTGTGAACTGTTATAGACTGCACTCTGCTGTGAGGCTGTACCCTGGAAAATTGATTGATATTAGAGAACTTTGGTTCCACCTACAGCATCATTAAACCCGACATGTGTCTCATATGCGAGTGAATTTACTATCAAAAACATTAAATAACCACCTTAATGCTATTCAATCGGATAAAATTGAAGGGCTCCTTTTTCAGTATGCCTTTTTTTGTTGTTTGATTACAGGTACCCGCTCGAGCTCCACATCGTGCACTCCAGGGTAGATGAGACTATGGATGTAGCTCTTACCCAACCGCATGGTTTGGCGGTGCTTGGAATTTTTTTCGAACTTTCGATGAGCGACAATCCTGCCCTGGAGCACGTGCTGAGCTCTATCGACGTCATCAACGCCGCACCAGGTACTAATTTAATATAATTATTAAATTACTCATATAATTACTCATAAATAAATTACTACTCATATAATTTATCAATCGTAAATCCCTGATTCAACACTGAATTGAACACTGTTTAAACTATAATTATGACTCTGAGAATGTTAGTTCCAGTGCCAATGCTCGCAAAAAAAAACCATAATGCAATAATAATATATTAATAATATGGTAGTTTCACTGTTATTGCAGGTGCAAACATCACTGAAACTTTTCTGTAATAATGATTAACTGGCTACTTCAATACAGTGACGTCCGTACTCATAGCTTTGCATTCAATTGAAATAGCCTTGCATTGTTGTAGCTAGCCTATTAAATTTGGCTATTGCAACAAATTAAATTCATTATCCAATACAAGTATGAACCCGTTCAAGAACAGACTAGATAAAGCTATGGAAAAATATATGTTCAGATTTGAAATGCCTAGCACCATATCGAACCCGGTGTAAGTCTAGTAGCTATTTCAAGCTTTCGTCAGTCGTGAAAAGATCCTGTCTAATGACACGATTTTAGATCTTCTGTAAACAAGGCACGAAAAGGAAAAGAATCGGCGACAGGCCACATCAGGCCTACACTGCAGCGCCGAGATCACTATGTTATGTTATGTTATTATATATTTAATTAAAACTGAAAAAATGAGGAAGCAACGAGCTTGAAATTATGCGGACATCAGCCATATTTGAATCAGCTCACATCGGAAATCACTCTCTGGAATATATTCTCTACGTCTTTCCTCTGTCACGATTTCGTTTTGAGCAAGAATGTTTGTAATTCCTTGAATTTTAACCATGCTTCACTGGTATTCTGATCGATCTATAGGTGTTATAATTTAGTAACAAATATTATATCATTATTCCCTTTTATTCACTACAGATCTTACGGCACAAGTCGTGAATCCGTACGCGCTGGCTTCGCTGCTACCCGACGACGTGCGCCGCTTCTACCGCTACGACGGCAGCCTCACCACGCCCGTGTGCAACGAGGCCGTCGTCTGGACCGTCTTCGCGCAGCCCCTCCACGTCTCCAGGGCTCAGGTACACTCGCCTGCGGATCAAGATTTTGTGTTGTTAGTCGCTCATAGTGATACTGCTACAGAAGAATAAAGAACTTTAAAAAATCAAGATAAGTCTATTAGCGTCATTAATTATTTTTTTCGAAATAATGAAAAACACTTAAATTCTCTATAGGACTTATAGACAGAATTATCGTTCCCCCAGGAATCCTACATGCTTTCAATTAATGGAACAATGGAGGCGTGGACGATCTTATCATTTACTTGTCGTTATCTTTCAGTAATATTCAAAATTATAATTATTTCGGAAAACCATTCGATTCGCTCGTTAGAATGACAGTAAAAATTATGCATTGCATTCCATTGAAGACATTTTTCAGCTGGACAAACTGCGTAGTCTGGCTGACGGCCACGGCGGACAACTCCAGAACAACTTCCGCAACCCGCAGCCGCTGAATGGCAGAACCGTGAGTCTGACACACATATTCGTTATAGCTCTTTCCCGTCCCCGATCTCTGCCGCGTCTACGTCGTGGGGGTACCCTGGCCTGCGCGTCGGCCGGATGCCCGGCATACCCGTGTGTCAGGCCAAACGGTATAGGCCCCGCCGCCCGGATTGCTACCGGACGGAGGCTCCTTTCTTCACTTTTTCCCCTAAGGGAAGGGGAACCTCGGCCTCCCCTTCCCCCTACCCACATCTTCGGCCGCCTATCTTTCCTGGGGCACCTTACACCCTCCTCCCCTACCATCTTTTCTACCTACTCGTCCTTCTTCTCCTGACCCAGGGTATCCATCCCAACCCTGGCCCGCACCCCTGCTCTGTCTGCTCCCTCCTAGTTACGCGGCGAGGATATTCGTTCCAGTGCTCCAGGTGCAATGCCTGGACCCACAAGCGATGCTCCGGCCTGCGCTCCATCAATCTCTACTCAGTGGGCTGGATCTGCCCAACGTACAGACGGTCTGACCCGATCCCAGCCAGACCCTCGCCCCCCCGGCCTCCCCCCATGCTAGCCCCTCCCACCTCTGCATCCTCCAGTTTCACTGCAATGGGGTTCAATCTAGCGCAGTTTAACTTGCTGCTTACCTCGCCAAGAACGACGTGGCGGTTGCTTGTCTCCAAGAGACCAAGCTATCAGCTACATCACGCTCTCCCTCCTTCCCCGGATACGCTCTGGAGCGCAGGGACCGCACCGGAGGTCGCGGTGGCGGTCTCCTCATCTTGATCCGCCATGATGTCCCGTACACCGGGAGAGACATCTTTCCCTTCCTATGCGGTGACACCACCATGGAGCCTTGGCAATCTCCACCCCTCTTAATGGATCCCTCTTTGCATCATTAATGTTTACATCCCGCCTGCCTCCTCCTGCTCCCCGGGATATTCCCCGGAACTTTCAGACATTGTTTCCATACCGGGCGACTGTCTGATAATAGGCGATTTTAACGCCCATCATCCTTCCTGGTTCACCGATACGGAAGACCAGAGAGCCGCAGCGCGAGGAGCCGTAGTCGACGACCTTGTGGCCGGTTCCTCCCTCGCCTACCTCAATGAGGACTCACATACCCTCCTCCCCTTCCATGGCCCGCCCTCCTCACCGGACCTCGCCATCATTAGCGGTCATCTACTCCTCAACATCTCTTGGACTCCTCAAGTCGCCCTCAACTCGGATCACCTACCCATCCTGATTCATCTCCCTTCCATCGTCGACTCCCCGACCCCCCAGGCCGCCCGCTCATACGTCAACTTTAAAAAAACTGACTGGCCTGCCTACACGGCAGCCATCGAAGCGGCACTCGAGATGGTCCTTCCCCCACATCGTGTGGTGGTGTGTCGACCTGGGGAGAAGTCTTAACGACTGCTGCCAGTTAGCATATCCCTGCCGGTTTTCGGAAGGACTTCTCTCCCTCTGTCAACCCTGACACCCGGTTGCTCATCGAGCAACGGGATGATATCAGGGCGCGTAACCCAACCGACCCCCGGCTCCCAGAACTCAACCAGGAAATTAGTATTTCCATACATGCCCATGCTAGGAACACATGGCGAACTCATCTTGCGTCGTGCAGCAGGTGCACAAACCAGTCTAAGCACTGGTATCTCCTTCGCTCCCTAGCCGGAAAGCGAAACCACCCTCCCCCCAATCAGCCAATCCAATTTGGTCTGAATTCCCTCTCTTCCCAGCGCAAGATCTCCTCCGCCTTCTGCAAGATATTCACCTCGATTGCTCCTCACTCCCAAAGCCCCTCCACCCGCCGCCTCAAACGTCGAATCCGAGCTGAACATCCCCTTGATAGGGACTCCTCCCCTTTCACACCCGACATGATGAAGCTTGCTATCGCAGTCGCCAACAAATCTTCCGCTCGAGGTCCAGATGGCCTCACGGTCCTTCACCTCAAGCACCTCGGCCCACGTGGTCTCCAGTTCCTCACCCGAATTTTTAACATCTCCATCTCCACAGCCTCGATCCCATCCATTTGGAAAAATTCAATAATTATTCCAATCCTCAAACCGGGCAAACCCAAAAACCAGGGCTCTTCATCCCGCCCTATCTCCCTCCTCTGCCCTGCAGTCAAGATCCTAGAGCGTCTTGTGCTCCCGTACATCTAAGGATCCCTCACCACCGTCCCCTCGCAACATGGGTTCAAACCGGGACACTCCACTGTTACCGCCCTCCTCCCGCTCGCGCACCAGATCGCGAAGGGTTTTAACTCTCGGCGCCCCCCAGCCCGTACAGTCGCCGCTGCAGTAGACCTCTCGAAGGCTTTCGATAGTGTCGACCACCCCCTCCTCCTAAGCATGATCGCGGCCTCGGACCTACATCACAACCTGGTCCGCTGGCTGTGCTGCTACCTTAGAGGCAGGCTGGCATCCTGCCTCTACCTGAGAGCACAATCGCCTTTCAGAACTATTCACTCGGGCGTTCCCCAGGGCTCGGTCATCTCGCCGGCCCTTTTTAACCATTTCATCTCCGATATCCCAGTGCCGTCCCCCAACATTACCTCATACGCGGACGACCTTACCATCTTCGTGTCGTCCCCGAGGCTCGATGCTGCGGAGGCTGAGCTCGCCGTGCTCCTTTGGAGCGTCTCAGATCGGTCGGTGGACAAGAAACTGGCCGTGGCTCCTGGCAAGTCCACGGTCACGCTCTTCACCCCAGATACGCACCAATCCCGATACCACACATCTGCCACAATCTGCAACGGCATTATCCCCCTGGACTAAAACCCCCAAAATCCTAGGCGTCACCTGGGATACGCACTTCACGTTCTCCCCTCATGCAAGAGCCATAGCCACGAAAGCGGCGGGTTCTCTTCGCATCTTAAAAGCCCTAGCTGGTACCAACTGGGGCTTCTCCAAGGAGGACATCATTGCCACCTACCGAACAATCACGCGCCCAATCCTCAACAACGCGGCCTCCATCTGGTACGCTGTTGCCTCACGCACAGCAATTACCAGTCTGCAAACAGTTCAAAACACTGCACTGAGACTAGCCACCGGCTGCCTCAAAATGGCCCCGATCTCCCATCTTCACCAGGAGACCGGCGTCCACCTTTTGTCCGCGCACCTGGACCTGGCTTGTGCCCAGTTCCTCGCCAGCGCCCTCCAGTTCTCCCATACCTCATTCCGCATTGTTTCTGCTCCACTTTTAGACCGCCCCATGAAAGCCTACATTCAGTCGAGGTTCGGCCACCTTGTCACACCACTCTTTGAAAATGGCATCTTACCCGCCGGTGCATACGGAGAAGCCAAACTGTCTCTCCGCTGGGAGATCGCCTCCCGTGTTGCGGCGACTGACGCCATAAACGCCGTCATCGCTGCTCCACCCCCGCCGATTGCATCGGTGAAGGCCTCACTCCCTCGCCCCTACCGTTCGGCGCTATCCCAGCTCCGCTCGGGATACTGCCGCTCCCCGGCGTCCTACTCCGCTAGGATCGGACGCTCCCCTAGCTCCGCCTGCCCGGAGTGCGGGGATCCCCTCCAATCGGTCCAGCACCTCTTCGCCTGCTCCGCCTTCCCCACGTCCCTCAGCGTCTCCTCATTGTGGGACATCCCTGTAGAGGCAGCGGCTTTCCTGGCCACCCTCCCTGCCTTCGCCCATCTCCCCCCTCTTCCGGTGCCGGCCCCCCCGCCCACCACCAGAGCCTCCCACGGCGAGCGTGACGGACGCAATAAACAACATGGCTCTTTCCCTGACAAATTTTCCGATCTCAGCTCCATTTATCGAAATATATTACAAGCTGATGAATCAAACACAACTAAATAAATCAAATCACCTCTACAGCTCTTCTGTCCTTATTGTTAAAATTAAGCTTTCATGCAAACCAGTTTTATGATGAGCAGCTCAAACGTAACGCAATTATCAGACTCATCTCATTTTAATACAATTATATATACAACTACAAGAGCAACTTCACTACTTGAAATTTACTGTTCGAGCAACCTTATTTCTACTAACAACTGCTACCAAATTAATAATTCCCGAGTTTTGTTTGCTAGTTTTGGTCACATTTCTATTATCATTTCACTGTTAGAGACAGAACATTTATGAACAAATAATGAATTCATGTTCAAATATATAGGCTTCTTATCAAATTATAGCTCAGCATCACGAATTAGAGAGGGTGTGAGAATTTCCAGCCCGAAAGAGAACTATTCCGCCGGAACTTTTTCAATGCACACATAATTTAAAGGTTATTATTACTGCAAATAATTGGCCATCATATCTTTGAATCTAAAAAATAAGAACTCAAAAACATTTTAAGAAGGTTCTTTTTGCCAAATTAAACTGAATACATTACAAATAATTAAGTGGAATTCTTCAAGATTTGGTACCAGTATTGTTTAAAAACACGTCACAGCATCAAGTTTTAGCTTAAACTAATTTTCAGTTTTCAATGTATTTTCTTAGCGCTACAGTTTTAGTAACTTTTAATTACTGATGAAAATAATAACTCTTTGCAAAATTCTTAATTATTCGTAAACTTTTTAACGATTGTGGCAGTCTCTTTGTCAATTGCTTCTTATTAGAATGAAACGATAGCCGTCTGGAGATATTTAATGTCTTGAATAAATGGTTAAATCTTATATCATTTGTTGAATATCGCCGTTTATTCATTTCTATTTTTCTTTCAATGATGTTTTTTCTTCTGAATTTTCCTGTTGTATTGTTAAGAAAGCAGAAAATGGTAGTTTTCCATAGGTGCGTTGGTCGACTTTTCTCAATTCTTCATTTAACTATTTTTCTTTTAATTATTAGAAAATTGGAGTGGGTTTTCCCAACTGCTGGACATTTTAATAATAATAATAATAATAAAAAGTTTATGAGTTAGATGTGCTGTGACTGCGCAATAATTTGGCAAAAATCAATAATCATAACAGTTATTTCGTTTATTCTGATGTTTTTTGCAATTGTGCAGGTTTACCGGACTTGGCCGTAGTCGACGACTCGTTGCAACACCACGCCTTAATTACTCGAGGTTCTCGGGGCAGATACTAATTTGATCACAATAAGCAGTCGCCAAATATATTAGTATGAGCGGGCAATTACGCTCATTTCGACCTAGTTAGTTCTTAAAAATTGCTATGTAAATTTCAGTGATTACATTCGAGCCGCCGAGATTATTTTATTCAAATAATAGAGATTATTTTATTCAAATAATCATAATCGGGTGGCCATTTGACCTTTATACTATCTAGAATAATAACATTCGATGGAATTTAATTGGCAATAGCTTTAATATTTTCATACTATTTAAGTATTCCTTTTTGTTTATTTATTCTAAAATGTATTTATTGAGTAGGAAGAAGATATTTTGTTTACCCACTCTGGAAAAATACTATTATTATTAATTACTATTAGTATTCGAATCTATAGATAATATGTTATTATTAATCATCATCTAAATTTGCATTTTCAGTTTAGAACTAATTTGTATCAAATTTTACGAAACTCGTTAATAGAAAAATAACAATAAAATGTATGAATGCAATAACTCACAAAATAATAATGAATTTAACACAATCTATTCTGAATGACTTTTTCCAAACTGCAATTTTTCTTCCGCCATGCTATCAAAGAGAATGAATTATTCTTTCCATAGTTAGACAGAATAAAATGTGAGAGATGAAATTCAACACGAAAATGCAAGTTGACGTAAAGTCTTGAAGAGAAACTAGACACGACCACTGAACTGTTCACTATTTGCTTGTCAATTAACTATGTACGCTGTGGAGGTAGCTATGTAGGAACGCTTTTTCTGTTTACCAGCTAGTGCAGTTGTTAACATGCCGGGCGTCTCTGCTATATTGAGTCACAGCGATGCATTGCCATAGAATTATTGCGGCACTCTTGAAACAGTAATGATCAAATTTACGATGTTTATAATACATGATCAGTTCGTACTATGCCCCCAAGTTTTTTATAATGTATTTAATTTTACTGCTGCGGATATTTTAGCATTTTAAGAACGTTCATTTTCATCGTATTTTTACTGTTTGTATTGTGTTGCCTGGTATTCTTATGATGCTCTAATAAACGTCATCTATGATTCTGTTTGATGATCATCTTTCCAAACAAGCTGAAATTTTTTCAAATCTTTTTAAAATTACAATAGAGCTCCCTGGTGTCAACTCTACATCGCTATTGTGATTGTAAGACTAGAGAAAACTCGTACGAATTAAGAATTATATTTATTTTCATGCCTCAAAATTTATCCCAGTCTTCTTGTGTCCGAAATTAAGCTATAAGTAATTCATATTTTGTATATTTTCCCCTTTATTGAAGCAAAAGTAATCAATACTTCATTCCGCGTTAAAAAGAGATTAAAAGAGAAATAGACGGCAGTTACGCGGAGCATAAGGGAGTTAAGCGAACGGAGGAATAATAGAACATAGAACGATACAAATATTCGCGCTTCATGAATGGCATTCAGAAATGAATGAACTCAGATTATAGACCACTACATTGAGTTTCATACTCCCGCCTTGTATATCTGTTGATTGGTCGCTAATCAGATAATGCAACTAGCCAACTAGCCTCTTAACAGCTGAGGTGACTATACCCAGAACCCTCACTGGCAAGGAGTCTGGATCGTGAATTAAGTTTCTTAAATAAACTGGATATACACTAAAAATAAAATGACATGTTACTACCCGAGGAGATTTGCAACTGAGAACCTGGGGGCGGATCTCCTACAATGCCATTACAAGTGACTACGGCAGATGTAATCAGCGACCGTAGTCACTTGTCACTCAGCGATCAGCTAAAAAAAGTAGGATGGGCGATGCTGTGCGCGGCATAATATGTTACCTAATCTTTTCCATATTGGCCGGGATATTCAATATGAAGTTTGGTGTCTGATTGCAGTTGATGCACACCATACAGCGTTACATCCTACTTACCCAGTCAAACGCGTCTTGATCGATAGTTGTAGATTATATGGCACAGAGTCATTCTGTGCTTAGCATTTTCATGTCCATCAAATTATAGTTGTTTCTACGGTTGCATCATGCGGTTTAATGACAGAAACTTATTACAATAAACAGGGAAATAAACCCTTAGCGTTCCTTAGTATGTATTTACTTGTTATTTTATAGAAAAACCTAAAAACCGATTACATATTTATAAAAAATTCATCTGCAGGTCACATAAATTATATGATTAACGATATTTAATACATAGTACTTAAATCGTTCCGTACGGGCAGAGTTCTCCAGCAAAGTCTCGCCTTTCAAATCTTTGCCTGCATGGACTTATCTCGATCTGCCCAATCTTCGACGTGCCGACATCAACGTTTGAGTGAGCATAATATTGATATAAATTATTGCATGTGCAATTATTGCATGTGCAAATGAATTCAATGTCATGAATTACTGCACCAATTTGGACGTACCAGTCTGCTTGTCTCACAAACGTAAAGGCAGGCAGGTTAGTTGCAGGCTGGTGTTCTTGTGGCGGTAGTTACTCACTGGGTCACAGGAACGATCGGTACACCTGCACCGTTCAATAAAATTAATGAACAAAAATATATTGAAAATTCCTAAATTATTAAATTTGATTAACTTCAAGATCAAAGCAAACTTCAGCAATAGAAGCCTGTCAATTCGAACGCCCTGATAGAGAAAAGTGCGTGCAGTAGGATAAAGAACCACGTAATTATCAAATAAAAGTTTAATGTTGAAAAAATGTCAAAATTGAAACATCTGTATATTGCAAAATTATGACTTCTGGAAAATCTAAGCAGTCAAAGTAGGAAAAGTAGCTGTCAAAGAAAAACAACGACATTTTTGTAGACCAAAATTGTTGAGTTAGAAATCAGTAGCTGAAACCCTAAACGGGATATTTATTAAGTTACGAATAAGACTTACTTTTCGGCCGTTCAAGGGCTGAGGGTTGCGGTAATTGTTCTGCAATCTTCTGCCATGACCGTCATCTAGACTTCGCAGCTTCTCCAACTGAAACACGTTCACATTATTGCCTACCACATTATTATTATTATTATTATTATTAACTGAATGAAAGCAATGAACATTCTATGTTGTTTTCTAAAAACCATTTCCTGTCGGATGTGAATACTTCTAAAATGTTTCCCATGCACTTGTATAATGAACTTGCATGAAAGATTTCCTTATACCCATACATAATGTTCAGATTTTACGAGAGCCACACTGTAGGAAAAATGTCGGTCTAAAACGATAAATGCATCAGTTAATTTAATTTCCGGCTATGAAACGTCATATTATACGGTAACCCATATTTAAAATTGATTGCTGGCCGCCCCTCCCTCCTTTTCATTTAAAAAATATGTAGAAAATAACCACTTAAAATGACAATTAACAGAACTGTGAAGATCGAGTACGTAGTATACAATTTGTTCATATTATTTAAATTTTCATCTATCGTCATGTCTCCTTCGTATAATTTAAAGATTGGGCATCTAAAAGTCATAATCATGATGTGAAGCCATCAAATGCTTTAAATGCCTACTGATCTTTCATTTTATTCACTGCAACAAACCTGCGGGAAGTATTTAATCATTTGTCGTTCTCTAAATGAAAGGCTATTTTGCTGACTATTTTTGCAGGCCTTAACTTTATTACTAGGTATTTTATATTTTCGAAACTTTTTTTTTTTTTTTGTTCGCAAACTGATGGTCACCGTCAGTCGATCATGAGGTCTTGGTGTGGTATATTATCGGATTAGGAACATTCAAAGAAAAATCTTCTCTCCGTAGATATAAAATCTTACATGCTTTGAAGTAAACTGATTTGCAGTATATATAGGGGACCACACAACAATCTGAATATTTTTAATGCCAGTCACTCAAATATATTTTCTATTTATTTCCAGTCACTCAAATATGTATAGAGACATTCGCTGCCTGCATGGAACGCATGATCAAGGCGCACCGTGGTTTATTGAGACGAACATACGGACTTAGATGCTGATATAAAAATGCAAAGCAAAATGAAAATTACAACGATTATTAATATTGTTATATGTTTTCATGAGTGCACTAGCATTTGTTACTTCAAGGAAGATCATTGTTGTTGAAGGTACTCAGCAATATCTTTGTCATTTGGTCTGTAATTACCACATGAACCAAAGTTGTACTTAATTTGGTGATGTTGCAAATAGCAACCAATGATAGTTTGGGCGCAACATCGTATAAATAGATACATTGATATAAATTGATTCATTAATTGAAATCTCTTAAAATTGTTGTTGCAAGAATAAATCTGCCATATTGCCCAATGCATGGTTGAATGAAAACACAAAAAAGTATAGTAATCAGTTCACTCGAATTAATATCAAATAAATAATACCAACACAGAAAACACTGCACAATATTACAACCCCAATTGTAATGATCTTTCGTACCGAGGTTCAATAAAGATCTCCCAATTAATCCAATTACTTTAATTGAACAAAAAATGAACACTTAAATTACGAGCATTTGAACAAAGTTAAATAGAACATAGGTTTAGAGCATAGTTTCATGGCAATACACCGGCGCATGTACCTGAGCCTTGGAGACGTGGAGGGGCTGCGCGAAGACGGTCCAGATGGCGGCCTCGTTGCACACGGGCGTGGTGAGGCTGCCGTCGTAGCGGTAGAAGCGGCGCACGTCGTCGGGTAGCAGCGAAGCCAGCGCGTACGGGTGAAAGACCTGCGCCATGTGATCTGTACACGAAATAGTACAATAATAATCGCTTTAATTTGAACTTACATCTTAAATTTTATCCAATAATCTGACAACCAAAATAAAAATTAAGGGTGGCGCATCGATGATTATAGGTGGCGATAGTAGATTATAGATGGCATTACGGTGGACGGCCAGTTCTGCCGAAAATCGCCAGCAAGCGCGTGCGGCTTTATGACAGGCACCGATTGATCTGTGTTTGAGTGAACCTAAAGATGAATTTCAATGCAACCATGCAGAATGCACGTATGTACTAATATTTTTTACAACAATTTCTGCTGATAGTTGTAATCTCGCAAACGCTGGCAATTAAATAATTGTGATTTTTAAAGTTGTATAAATAACTTATAGAGACGGAAACCCCAGAATCACAGGTAAATGACCTCTATGGAAGGGCTGAGTCTAATGCGAGTCTAATTTATTCTATGAATGATTCTATTCTATTCTAAAGTTTGTTACAAAGAGTGCGTACAAACGTTAGAAAGTAGTTTTCTATGATAGATGAAATGAAAAGTTTTTTCACAACCTGCAACTGAGCGGGTCACACATGAAACTAGTGAGCGCAAATCGTCATAAAAACATAAAATTTACAGTCAAGCACCAGAGATGTTATTCGTGAGAAAACTTATTTCCTACCAATTGCTTCATATGTTGGTAGTATACATATACTATGTGGTATCATCAAGGAGCAGGACATTGTAAGATCTTGGACACTCATTCACAGAAGGATGTAATGAACGAAGACCATCGATCTATTTATAATACTGCATTACACCAATTACCGGAATAATTGAAAGCAAACGACACTAAGGTTTGAAGTAAGTCACCCTTCACAATCATCAGATCTCAATCTCAAATTGAATAATGGTCCAAAAGACCAGTTGACCAAAGCTCACAAGGAGGCGTCAATGATTTGGGGCAAATCACAATTTTTTTGCTGCAAGAGGAGAAACAGAAATTTCATAAACAGGAATTTCGGGTATTAGAAATGTAATAACGTTTTGTATTTTGAAGAACGTACGAACAGTGTTGAAATGAGCTAAGTTTGTATCATTGTGACGATAGTAACTAATATTCAGTATTGAAGCCAATTTTTTTTTTTAATTTGTAGCACTTGGCGAAATGCTATTTATTTTTTACGATGTGTGGAGGACATTGAACATTGCAAAACCGAATGATCAGTTTAAATGTGACAATAGAATTCCGAGCGTATCTATCAACTCTAGAACTGTGTCGTCTGAAAAAATATTGGTCAATATTATAATCAGTATAGTAAAATTACTTAGCAAAAGTATCATCAATACTATTGCAGCTGTACTGAAAAATTGGCACTAGCTCTGATATTGAACATTAATGAAACTTCTTATTCTGCAAGCTAATAGTTAACATTGGCTTGCACGAGTTCCAGCATTTGATCTAAGAAATTTGTAAGAAAATCGAGGGACTTGATATTTTTTGCGTACTTGGAGTGTGGTTGATAACATTTATGGTATCCAACACGTGGTCCAGAGCAGGATTATCGTTTGGCGAGAGTGTAAACATGGCAGCGAGCACCGCAAGACCCTGCGTTCGGCTGTAAGCGTCTTCGGGAGTTAAACCTTCTTTGGAGTGAACGATATGGAGCTCAAGTGGGTACCTGTAGAATGAACAATAAATTGGTACATGCAATAAATTGGCTCCCTCTTATCACTTCATCAACTATTAAAATCTTTTCAGCAGTCACTAATCCCTTCAGGGCCCTTGAGACTGCAGACACACAGTACCTACACAGCACTAGATGCCACACACCACGGAACACTAGCCGTACACCAAACAATAAGGACACTCCACTGACATAGCCAAATGCGGTATGACCAAACCCTTAGACAAAATTAAGCTCATCAATCAATCATAGAACTCAACCTCCACCTGTCCGTCAAAAATGCAATCTGATTACCTGCGAGACAGAACAATAACATCCACAGAATAGGCTAACGCATAGGAACTCCTTTTCCCAGGTGTCCCCCAAGAGGTTTGCATCTCACCCACTCTAAACAGATTCTACATCCACGACTTCCCACCATCATACCTGATGCAGATTATTTAGTATTTACAGATCAGGCACTATAGTAACCACAGGAAGTTTAGAGTATATACACATACACAACCGGCCATTAGAAATAAAGCCGTACAAGCCAATGTGAACTCAAACAACCATGAAGCATTTCAAAAATCAATAGGCCTTACAACAGATCAACTCGTTTGAGTATCTATGGATCTTTAAGACGAGCAAAAATAGGTTTTGAAACATTCCCATCATTAGGCTGACTTATTGGACCAACAATAATAATAACTTTTTTTAATAATTTGAATCCATAATAAATTTTCATCCCGCAAGGCTTCAGCTCCACAATAGCAATGCGAAAAGAAATACTCTCATAAATTTTTCAAAAATACACGGATTTACCTCACAAAATAAACGCACATTAAACCTCGAGTTTTTAGAACATCCCTCATTTGCTCCTCAATTCCTCTATACACACAATCCAAATCATCTATATTTAATTTGCAAAAGAGTCATAATACTAACACAAACATAAATACATCAAGCAACAATGCGTCATTCCCACCATAAATAATGTCCACCAACAACAAGCACGTAAAACCTAGTCCAGCATTAAAACATATGACCCAGAGTTCTCAAATCAAATCACGTTCTCTTTTGACACCGTTACAGAGCAGCAGCGGCTATTCTAAATTCCATATCACAAGTAATCGGTCTCCCACCTCGCGCCCCCCTCGACCACATTTAACCTACTTCATACCACAACGGCTATCTGCAACCACATACAAAACCGGCCATCTGCAACCACATACACAACCGGCCATCTGCAACCACATACACAACCGGTCATCTGCAACCACATACACAACCAGCCATCTGCAACCGCATACACAACCGGCCATCTGCAACCACATACACAACCGGCCATCTGCAACCACATACACAACCGGCCATCTGCAACCAC